AAGTCATAAAGTTCTATTTCACCAGTTCAGTCTAATGTACTTTATCTTCTGTTGTGGTTCAATCTTCCCATTTGAATTCTGGGATATAAATATTCAGCTCCAGACTTGTCCCTATGCTTAAGTTGGCCATTTTCTTAGTTTTTAAATTCTTATTTCTGTGTCTCTGAATTTTATTTTCCTGACATAGCACTCCCTTGAGAACTTCTTGGAGATCTGGTATGGTGGTAAATTCTTTCAGGTTTTGTTTATCTGAGAATGTTCTTGTCTTTTCTTCCCATGTGAAGGATAATCTTGCCAGGTAAAGTATTCTTGGTTGAAATTGCTTTTCCCTTAACACTTTGAATACATTTTCCCATTCTTTCCTTGTTTGCATTGTTTCCAACGAGAAGTCTGTTAGCCTGATATCCTTTGTAGGTAACTTGCCGTTTTTCTCTTGCCAATCTTAGCATCTTGACTTTGTGGTTTTGGTCAGACTGGCTATAATGTGTCTTGGAGAAGATCTTCTTGGATTGATTCTATTTGGGGTTATTTGTATTTCTTGGGACTGGATCTTTGAGTGCCTCTCTAGGTTTGGAAAATTTTCTTGCAGGATTTCATGGAATAGATTATCAATGCCCTTATGAATCTTTTCACCTTCTGGGATACCAATTATCCAAATGTTTGTACATTTGATGGTATCTAGTATTTCTCGTATATTATTCTCATTTTTTGGGGCAATTTTCTCAGTCTTTGTGGTGGAACAATATCTTTTACTATTTTTTGCTTTCTTTATATGTTATAAATATACTTACATAGTATTATTTTTTTACCACTTTTTTTTTTTTTTACTGGGATTATTTCTATTCCTTTTGGTGTCTCACTTTAGAAATAATCTATTGAAACATTTGGGCAGAAAATAAAGCAACTAAGTCACTGCAATAAAAAGAAACTAAATAAAAGTTTTCCCTTCAATCAGAGAAGAAACAGAAGATTGTTATACTGTTGGGTCATCAGGACAATCATGACACATTTTTGCTTAGAAAAACATAAAAAAATATGTCATGACTTTCCCAATGACCTAGTAGTTGATAGGCCTCAAACTGGACATATTTTGGTTGAATACTGGTTGAGATGTCATCTCGTTATATTTTTTTTTTCTGGTAATATTGTCATTCTTGATATTGGTGTTGCATTTTTTAATAACATATTTTTTAAAGAATGGTTTTATTTAATTTTATTCATTGTTGTTGTTATCGTTATTTTGACCAGAGAGTGAGAGGGGGTGGGAATTGAGAAAGTAAGCCACCAGGGACAGGACTCAAACCATGCTCAGCCATGCGGTAGTCCAGTGCTCTAACTACCACACCACTTGCTGGCCCCTGTTAATAACATCTTTTTTTTTTTTTTTTTGCGAGATTTTTGTCTTAGGGCAAAGCCACTTTGAGAGATTTTTGCTGTAGGGCACATGCACTCTTCAGAAAGACAGAGAGGCAGAGAGACAGAAAGCAAGAAATCAGCCCCTCGGGGAGATGGCCATGCCACAGTCCATTCTCCTCTCGGGATCTTGGGCATGCACGCACATGCGCCCAGCATAAGTTCAAGCCATCAGGTCTGGGACTGGAACTGCGGTCGACTACATGGGAGTCCAGTGATGTAGACATTACACCAACTGCTGGTCCCAGTCTCTTAATAACATCTTATGCAGAAATATTATAAAAAGAAAAAGCAGGACCTTTTATATTATGTGTTACGGATCTAATGAAGGAAATAGAGTAGACTTGGCTTGAAATATGAACCTTATTGTTCTAGTGGAGCTGAGGGCCCCGGTCTTACTTGCTGGACCTGCGTTCCATCTGCTGCACCATCCTCAGTGCAATCCGTTCCCTACGGTGATACGTTACTTCCCCCAAACCTTCCCATCCCTAGCTCTCTCCTGCCTGAGGGTAGAGGTCAGCCTTCTTGGAACTATGAGTCTCTTTTTGATCTAGCTGCTATTTTCTTCTATACTCATCACCTGTCATACGTTCTGTGTTGTTTTCTTCATTTCTCTTGCCCACTTATGGTAGTATTTGTACTTCCCTCTGCTTTATGCTTCAGCAGTATTCAATAT